AAAATCAGCCTTCCATCAGTCCCAAACTCCAAAAACATTCTTCCATCAGCCCCAAAACCCTAAAACAGCCTTCCTTAAGCCCCAAAACCCTAAAATATCCTTCCCTCAGTCTCAAACTGCAAAAACAGCCTTCTATCAGCCCCAAAACCCTGAAACATCCTTCCCTCTGTCCCAAACTCCAAAAGCATCCTTCTCCCTCAGCGCCAAGTCTCAAAAACATCTTTCCATCAGTCCCAAATCTTTCCCTCTCTATCACTCCCTTCTCCATCAGTCCCAACCCCCAAAACATCCTTCCCTCTCCCAAAAAACATCTTCCCCCTCCCAAAAATTTCCTTCCCTCTCCTTCATTCCCAAACCTCAAAACACACTTCTCTCTCCATCAGTCCCAACCCCCAAAAACTTCTTCCCCTCTCCCAAAAACATCCTTCCCTCTCTTTCACTTCCAAACTCCAAAAACATCTTTCCCTCTCCCCAAAACATCCTTCCCTCTCCCAAAAACATCCTTCCCTCTCTTTCACTTCCAAACTCCAAAAATATCCTTCTCTCTCCCAAAAACTTTATTTTCCTTCATTCCCAAATCAGAAAACATGCTTCCCTCTCTGTCACTTCCAAACTCCAAAAACATCTTTCCCTCTCCCAAAAACATCTCTCCCTCTCCATCAGTCCCAGCTCCCAAAAACGTCTTTCCCCCTCTCCCAAAAACTTCCTTCCCTCTCCTTCATTCCCAAACCGCAAAACATGCTTCTCTCTCCATCAGTCCCAACCCCCAAAAACGTCTTCCCCTCTCCCAAAAAACACCTTTCCCTCTCTCAAAAACACCTTTCCCTCTCTCAAAAGCCATTTTTCTTCTCCCAAAAACCATTTTGCCCTCTCCCAAAAACATCCTTCCCTCTCTGTCACTTCCAAACTCCAAAAACATCTTTCCCACTCCCAAAACCATCTCTCCCTCTCCATCAGTCCCAGCTCCCAAAAACATCTTCCCCTCTCCCAAAAACATCTTCCCCCTCTCAAAAACATCCTTCCCTCTCCCAAAAAACATCTTTCCCTCTCCCAAAAAACATCTTTCCCTCTCCCAAAAAACATCTTTCCCTCTCCCAAAAAACTTCCTCCCCTCTCCTCCAGTTTCAAACTCTCAGGAGCCCTGAGAGCCTGGTGTGGCTCAGGAAGCAGAGCAGCATCACCCAACAAATCCCAGATTTCCCCAGCCCCTCTCCTCCATCACGGGCACCCCATGGGAACCCCGATGCCACCCTAATTTTTGGAATTNCATCAGCCCCAAAACCCTAAAACAGCCTTCCTTAAGCCCCAAAACCCTAAAATATCCTTCCCTCAGTCTCAAACTCCAAAAACATTCTTCCATCAGCCCCAAAACCCTGAAACATGCTTCGCTTTGTCCCAAACTCCAAAACCATCCTTCTCTCAGTCCCAAACTCCAAAACCATCCTTCACCATCAGCGCCAAGTCCCAAAAACATCTTTCCATCAGTCCCAACCTCCAAAAAAACATCTTTCCCTCTCTATCACTCCCTTCTCTGTCAGCGCCAAGTCCCAAAAACATCTTTCCATCAGTCCCAACCTCCAAAAAAACATCTTTCCCTCTCTATCACTCCCTTCTCCATCAGTGCCAAATCCCAAAAACACCTTTCTCTCTTCACCAGTCCCAAACTCCAGAAATATCCTCCCCTCTCTCCAAAACTCCAGAACCATCTTTCCTTCTCCATCAGTCCCAAATCCCCAAAACATCCTCCCCTCTCCTTCATTCCCAAACTGCAAAACATGCTTTACCCTCCATCAGTCCCAACCCCCAAAAACATCTTTCCCCTCTCCCAAAAACCATTTTTCCCTCTCCCAAAAACCATTTTTCCCTCTCCCAAAAACAATTTTTCCTCTCCCAAAAACCATTTTTCCCTCTCCCAAAAACCATTTTTCCCTCTCCCAAAAACATCCTTCCCTCTCTGTCACTTCCAAATTCCAAAAACATCCTTCCCTCTCCCAAAAACTTCCTTCCCTCTCCTTCATTCCCAAACCGCAAAACACACTTCTCTCTCCATCAGTCCCAACCCCCAAAAACATCTTCCCCTCTCCCAAAAACATCCTTCCCTCTCTTTCACTTCCAAACTCCAAAAAC